CTATCTGTCTGTCTGTCTGTCTGTCTGTCTGTCTGTCATCATCATCATTTTTGAATTCCAAAGAGATATTTTGAGTTCTCTCGCAAAAGTCTTGCGTTCCAAAGAGATATTTTGAGTTCTCTTGCAAAAGTCTTGCGTTCCAAATAGATATTTTGAGTTCTCTCGCAAAAGTCTTGCGTTCCAAAGAGATATTTTGAGTTCTCTTGCAAAAGTCTTGCGTTCCAAATAGATATTTTGAGTTCTCTCGCAAAAGTCTTGCGTTCCAAAGAGATATTTTGAATTCTCTCGCAAAAGTCTTGCGTTCCAACGAGATATTTTGAGTTCTCTCGCAAAAGTCTTGCGTTCAAAAGAGATATTTTGAGTTCTCTCGCAAAAGTCTTGCGTTCCAAATAGATATTTTGAGTTCTCTTGCAAAACTCTTGCTACGTTTCCTTTCAAATGGGAACAATAATTGCAGCCATTTCAAGCGCAAAATAGTTTAAGACATGCTTTTATTGGGAGTTAAATTATGCAAATACCAGTAATTTGACGAGCGCAAACGTTAGTAAAACGCGTGGTGTGATTCATTTGAATACTCTCCTCCCATAACGTGTCTGAAAGGGAAACTCCTACAAATGCATATTTAATAACTGTGTCCACGCCTTTTCATCGCTAATTCGTCACTGCGCGTCTTTAGTAAAACCTGACAGTACTATTTTAACGCCAAGAGACGGTTTGCGCTTGCGCAAGCTGTTAGTAAAACTGGCAACGCAATACTTTTGCGAGAGGAGCCTACGCAAAAACATTTCAAAATATTTTTTTCCTTCTATCTCTCTCTCTTTAACATCACTGTATCCCGTAGCCTACTGAAGCATCACATAACATACACATACTGTATACATTCAGTACATCGACAATTAAAAAAAAATAATAATAATGAAAATAACTGAAATTACATTGATTGTAACGTTCCAAAGTTTACAAACCCTTAATTATAGCAGTGATATCATGAGTTGCATCAATGTCTGCTTGCAGCCTCGTGTGATAGTTGTCTATGAATTCCAGAATTGTGGTTCAGCTATTTCTGCCTATCTATAGAAACAGGTTTGTTATATTCATTAAAGTGTGATATGCGTTTATTGGATAGTGTAATGTTCTCATGCTCCAGTGTGGATGATGGGAGATGTTAATGACTGAGTGCTCAGTCTCTGGCATCACACTTCAGTGACAGATCTTGCAGGCGCCAACTCTCCTACAATGTCCGACATTCACTCACCAGAACAACACAGTATAACTGTACATGCTTCAGTGTGTAAAGCAGTGTATAACAGTGCATCACCATTCGTGACTCAACTGTGATGATCAAACACAAGTGCTGTAAATCTATATTATAATTAGCCCTTCTTTTACAACTGCACCCAGAAATACTATTCCTCCTAGTACTATTTTGTTATGCAACAAAAGGGCTAAGATGTTAATTATTGTCTTAAATATTATGGTAATGGTTTCCTAAAGTACTTAAATATTATAAAAACCTACTAGAAGCCACAATCTTCTCTTGTGTTAATTGCTATTGATGTCTGATGTAGCATTATTAGGCTTGGCATAAAATATTAATGCGTACTGCAGAAAAACGTATTTTAAAAATCTATCTAATCAAATCTATTTGCTAAAATAGATCAAAAACTACAATAATATTTTCCTCTTAATTATTATGCATGGATATATGACATTATATTAGGCTTTAAAAAATATTATGTAAACTGTCCAAGAGGTAAGATTTATTTCTTTATTTATTCAAATTGAATGAAAGCTAAAGTTGTTGTTGCTGACTGTTTAGAATTTCTTTGGAAGAAAATGAAAGCTAAAAATAAAAAATAGCTTGCTAACCACAGAGAACAAATGTTGGCTAAAAGGCTACAGAATATACTCAGAAACTATTATTTTCACTTTTAAGTTATTAGGTTATTGTTCACTTTTCAGCTCCACAAGCCAGATATTAATTTATCACACAAATTTAATTTCATAACAATGGCAAAATATTTGTTTTATTTTGCCTACAGAACCTCTACCGACCCTTTGACCATTTATGCTCTTGCATTCAAGAGCAAGAGCACTACCTTGTGGAAAGGGGGTGAATTATTTAAAACACCCTACAGTAAATATGAAAATGCTTCAGAATAGTGATTTATTTATTCATGATTATGATGAAATGACATTCAAACAGTGTTTTATAATGCCTAAAATGTGGTCTAGTAATACCTCAACAACAAATCGTTAAAAAAATTGACTTAAGTCTCTTTTGAGTTACATTAAAATATCAGAGAGCACACTGTTTGGAGTGTCTTAACAGGCATAGACTAGCAAAGAATTAAATAACTCGCCCTCACGGAAACAAACAGGGCTTTCCATTCCAGCCTTCAAGATTTTCAGTTCGTTGAAATGCGAAGAGCAGCAGCTCTGTGATGATTAATCTGTCTATTCACTGAGTTGAGGTAGGTATAGCCTCAGAGCACTGCTCTCGGATCAGCTCTTCAAGTTATTTCCTAACAGCTATTATGTAACACTGAGGTACAGTAACCTGACCCAGAACCAGCTCTTACGGGTCAACCCGTTTAAAAGGACTCAGCGGCTGGAGCTCTGGAGAACCATCGAAGGATGAAGATCCAGACAGTCGACATCCTGTCAGTTTAGTCTGGAGATCATTAGAGGTCAGCATCATCTGGTCTTCAGTCTCTTTCAGGACTTTGATGTGAGTGGTGAAGAGCAGGTAGAGCAGAGCTCCAGAGAGGAGCAGGCCCATGCAAACGGCTCCCAGAAGCCCCACGGTGCTGAAGGAGCAGGAGCAGGAGCAGGGCAGGAAGGCCAAAGCCAGCGGCAGCAGCAGTGACAGCAGAGCACCGAACATCAGACGCATGGCTTTGTCCCGCAGGGCCTCGGTCTGACACAGGCCTTCCTTCACCACCGCACGCGCCTCTGTGACCACGTCCATCTGCTCTGATACAGCCAGTGCTGGAGGAAGACAGGGCGATATAGAATAAAAATGAATTACACCTATAGTTTGCTTTCATTGAAATCCAAATATCATTTTTCTTCCATATGTCATCCCTGCAGATTCTGTGACTTTTTTCCTCTTTAAAAATAATGGTTTGATCTTTCTTGAACATCACATTGATGGGAGTGACATCATAGACTACCATTCAAAAAAAGTTTGGGGTCAGTAAAATTTAAATTTTGTTTTTGAAAGAAGTCTTTTATGCTCACCAAGGTTGCATTTATTTGATCAAAAATACAGTAAAAACTGTCATATTGTGAAACATTATTACAATTTAAAATAACTGGTTTCTATGTTAATATGTTTTAAAATGTAATTTATTTCTGTGATGCTATGCTGAATTACTGCAGTCTTCAGTGTCACATGAGCCTTCAGAAATCATTCTAATATGCTGATTTGCTGCTCAAAAACATTTCTAATTTTTCATTAATTATAAATTATATTATCATGAAAATATACATTTTTCAGGATTATTTGATGAATAGAAAGTTCAAAAGAATAGCATTAATCTAAAATATATTTTATTTGTAACATTAAAAATATCTTTACTGTCCTTTTTGTCAAACTAGAAAATAGTGTACATTTTGGACAGTGTTTCTTTAACAGTCTTTATCAGTACTTCTTTACGTTTGCACTTATGGCCTCGTCATGCTCAATAAATCAACTCTATATATTAGAAGGATGGGTCGCTCTGATCTATCTCAAACACTCCCCAAACCAGTGAAACTGACAATGCATACCATAACACTCATGACAATCACATATCCGGTATCCTGTAGTTAGTCCAGTTTTCCCACATTCCTTTTTGCCAACTGACACAAAATTCCTCCATCTCTCTTATATGAATCTGAATCCTGGTTCACAAGTAAACGTCGCTCAACCAACATTTATCTGTGCACCACCAGAATCATGCTTTGGTAGCTTTTTAACTCCCTGAAGTCTCGTTGTTATCGGATAAAGAAAAGTTAGTGTAAATTGTTATAGGAACATATACATATGCTGTGCAGTAAATTCAAATAAACACGTGAAATTTATAGCGTAGTTACTGTAATGACAATTATTTTGGCAAATATAGCTTTTGTTTGCAATTCCATTTTCAGTGTTGAAGTCCAACATGATAACCACACAAGAAAACCAAGAGTTTATTTATTTATTTATTTATTCCCGGAGCCGTGTGGAGAACTTTTTATGATGGATGGACACACTTTTTTGGGCTTCAAAATCTTAACCACCATTCACTGCCATTATAAAGCTTGGAAGATTTAATATAACTCCGATTGTATTCGTCTGAAAGAAGAAAGTCATATACACCTAGTTGTCATGAGAGTGTGTTGGTGGTATGCATCAGGGCCGGACTGGGACGTAATTTCAGACCGGGAAATCTCACGCT